TCCCTCTGCCGTGTCCCCTGTCCCCCTCCCTATGTTGTGTCCCCTGTCCCCACCCCTGTGCCATGTCCCCCGTCCCCTGCCATGTCCCCTGTCCCCATCCCTCTGCCATCACCCCTGTCCCCAACCCTGTGCCATCTCCCCTGTTCCCATGCTCTGCCGTGTCCCCTGTCCCCATCCCTGTGCCATGTCCCCTGTCCCTGTGCTGTCCCCTCACCCGAGACCCCCATCCCTTTGCCGTGCCACTGTCCCCATGCCATGTCCCCTCTTCGTGTGCCATCCCCACGTCTGAGACCCCCGTCCCTTTGCTGTGCCACCCTCCTTCTGCTGTGTCCCCTGTCTCTGTGCCTTTGTCCCCTCTCCCTGTGCTGTCCCTGTGCTGTCCCCACACCCGACGCCCCCATCCCCAAGCTGTGTCCCCTGTCCCTGTGCCATCCCCACACCTGAGACCCTTGTCCCTTTGCTGTGACACTGTCCCATGCCATGTCCCCTGTCCTCGTGCCATGTCCCTGTGCTGTCCCCTTGCCAGAGACTCCCATCCTTTTGCCATGCCACTGTCCCATGCCGTGTCCCCTGTCCCTGTGCTGTCCCCACACCCAAGACCCCCATCCCTTTGCCGTGCCACTGTCCTATGCCATGTCCCCTGTCCCCGTGCCATGTCCCCTCTTCGTGTGCCATCCCCACCTCTGAGACCCCCGTCCCTTTAGACCCCCATCCCTTTGCCGTGCCACTGTCCTATGCCATGTCCCCTGTCCCCGTGCCATGTCCCCTCTTCGTGTGCCATCCCCACCTCTGAGACCCCCGTCCCTTTGCTGTGCCACCCTCCTTCTGCTGTGTCCCTTGTCCCTGTGCTGTCCCCAACCCAAGACCCCTGTCCCTTTGCTGTGCCACCATCCCTGTGCTGTCCCCACACCCGAGACCCCCATCCCCAAGCTGTGTCCCCTGTCCCTGTGCCATCCCCACACCTGAGACCCTTGTCCCTTTGCTGTGCCACTGTCCCCATGCCATGTCCCCTGTCCCTGTGCCATCCCCACGCCCAAATTCCCCTGTCCCTTTGCCGTGCCACTGTCCCCGTGCCACATCCCCTGTCCCTGTGCTGTCCCCTCACCCAAGACCCCCATCCCTGTGCCGTGCCAGCCCCTCTCCTCCCCATGCCATCCCCATGCCGTGCCATCCCCGTGTCCCCATCCCTGCCCAGTGGCCCTGGCACCTCCCCCATTAATTGGGCCTTTCTGTGGGGCTGGGGGACAGGCTGGGGGGGCTCCCTTTGCCCCGTGCCCCCCTTTTGCCCCCCTCCTCGAGGTTCTGTGCCCCCTCCCATGCCCGCTCCTCATCCCCCTTCTGTCCCCCACAGCTGCCCACCCTCTGCCTGTCCCTCTGCCAACTTTCTGGCCACCACCACAACCTGGTAGCCCTGGTCGGGCTGCTGCCAGACCTCACCAAAAGGGACAGGTACGTCCCCAAACACGCTGCCAGGCCTCCTCCTGCCACCCACGACTGGTGACAATGGAACCCCAGCAGGAGCTGGCACTACCCCGGGGGGGGGACACCGTGCCAGCCCCGAGCCGGGCTGGGGATTCCTCTGCCCTTTTTAATTCTTTTTAATTTATTTTATTCCAGCCGGTTGCACCGGCACAAAGCGGGGCAGGATCCTGCTGCCAAGGGGGGGGTCCGGAGGGCACCGGTGCCACGGGGGGGGTCTGGAGGGCACCGGTGCCACGGATGTCACCAGGGATGGTGGTGATGGTAGGCACGGGCACCTGGGGACGCAGTGGACCCTTCCTCATCATTTTTTCTCCCCCCAAAATCTCCCCAGGGAGCTTCGCCGGTGTCTGAGCCTTCACGCCGTGGCTCGGCTGCTGAGGGAGCCACCGGCCACCGTGCCACCTCCTGGGGCACAGGCAGAGGTGGGTGCACCCCGATGGTGGTGCCAGGACCCCGTGGGCACCGGGACCACCCTGAACCCCCCCAATTATCCCCCCTCTCTCTCCCCACAGCTGGAGGTGCTGGGCCAACTGCTGGCCCTGGCGCGGCCGGACGCCCTGCGACATTTGGTGGCCACCAGTGACCAGGAGAAGCCAGAAGACCTCGACCAGGAGGTGGGTGCCAGCCTTTGCAGGGAAATGGGTGCTGGTGGGGTGCTACAACCCCCACCCCCACCCCACAAGTTGCCCCACGCCCCCTTGGGTGAGCCCCACTCCGTTGCCCACAGGCTTGTTACATGAGCTACAGCCTCCTCCTCCTCGCCAGCAACGTGGTGGGCACCGAGAACCCACCTCCCCAGCAACGGGTGAGCACCGGGGCCTGGTGGGAGGGACACAGGGCCAGGAGGGTGGCCACCATGTCCTTGACCCCCCCCTGGTTGTCCCCCCCAGGGCTACCTGGAGCGGCTCTGTGGCCAGTTGGACCAGCACTTCGGGAGGGGGCTGCAGGAAAGCCCCTGCCTCTTCTTCCACAGCCAGCTCAAAAGCCTGGCCACCCTCCTCTTCGTCAAGTGGCAGGAGATGTTGGCCTAGGGCAACGGGGGCCACCAGATCCCAGAGTGGGGCCACCAGCACCCTTGGGTGCCCCAGGTGGCCCCCCAACCCAATAAACCCCTCTGACTCCTGCGGCTGTGTGGGGCAGGCCATCGGCACCGCGAAAGGGCGCCGGGGGTCCTGTCCCCCAGGGGTTGGGCTGGGACAAATGGGGCAGAAGTGGGTGGAATTGGGCTGAGTGGGGTGGAACTGGGCAGAACTGGGTGGAACTGGGTGAAACTTAGGTGGAAATGAGCAGAACGGGGTAAAACGGGGCGGAACTGGGTAGAACTGGGTAGAACTGGGTGGAACTGAGTGGAACTGAAGTGGGTTGAGATGGGTTGAGCCCAATTTGACCCAACTGGACCAGATCCGATGGGAGCCAATCCGATCTGATCGGATCCGACCCGATCTACTGAGTGGAACTGAAGTGGGTTGAGATGGGCTGAGTCATCTCAACCGACCCAACTGGACCTGATCCAATGGGAGCCGATTTGATCCGATCTGATCCCGACCTGAACCCGATCTGATCTGATCCAATCCAATCTAATCTGACCCAATCTGATCCAACTGGACCCGATCCGATCGATCCGATCCAACCAGACCCGGTCCAACCCCATCCTATCCAATCCAACTGGAGACAATCCAATCCAACCTGATCTGACCCAATCTGATCCAATCCAACTGGACTTGATCCGATCCAACTGGACCGATCCGACCTGATCCGATCCAATCTGACCTAACCTGATCCTATCCAACCAGACCCGATCCAATCCACCTGGACATGATCCGATAGATCTGATCCAACTGGGCCCCATTGACCTGATCCGATCGATCTGATGCAACTGGACCCAATCCAACCCGATCCCATTGATCCGATCTAACTGGACCCAATCTGACCCGGTTGATCCAATGCAACCAGGACCGACTGGACCTGGTCTGACCTGATCCGATCTAATGGGACCCGATCTGATTGATCTGGTCCGACGGGACCCGATCTGACCTGATCTGATCTGATCGATGGATCTGATCCAACGGGACCTGATCCAATCCAGCCGATCTGACCCGATCCAATCTGACACGATCCGATTGATAGCTCCAATCCAACTGGACACGATCCATTTGATCTGATCCAACTGGACCCGATCTGACCTGATCTGATTGATCAATCCAACGGGACCCGATCTGATCAATCCGATCCGACTGGACCCGATCTGACCTATGCCAATGGATGGATCCAATCCAGCAGGACCCGATCCAATCGATCCGATCTGACTGGACCCGATCTGATCCGATCGATGGATCCAATCCGACTGGACCCGAATCCAGTCGATGTGATCCGACTGGACCCGATCTGACCCGATCGATGGATCCAATCCAACAGGACCCAAATCCATTTGATCCGATCCAACTGCACCCGATCCGATCAATGGATCCAATCCAACGGGACCTGATCCAATCGAGCCGATCCAACTGGACCTGATCTGATCGATCTGATGTGATTGGACCCAATCTGACCGGACCCGATCTGACCTGATCCGATCAATGGATCCAATCCAACTGGACCCGATCTGATCAATTCAATCCAACTGGACCCGATCTGACCCGATCCGATCGATGGATCCAATCCAACGGGACCCGATCCAATCGACCCAATCCGACTGGACCCGATC